CATTTTCCTGTGACAAGAAAGATCGGTTTGAAGTGATTTTTTTTTGTAAGCCTAAACACAGATAAAATTATTTCCGTTTGTTTTTCGAAACGGTTTAGTGTTTGATTCAACAGAGTGATGTGATTTTACATCCATGTACTGCTGGCTTTCAGAGACCATGCAACCATCGCCTCCTTGAATAGCTGTCATTAATTAAAATAAAGGAATTAGTTATATCTTCTTGTGGGAGAACATGGCAGCCGTTTCATGATTCAGAATTTTACGCAAATAGTTTCGTGACCGTGACGACGAGACATCATATGCTTAACGCAGGTGTCTGGGCCATTATAAACCAGTGATTGAAAAATCGGTTTTCTGCCATTTTACTTCCAGGTATACAATCAGAGATTCATTAAAGGTGGGAGGGAATCTTTCTTTGCCAAATTCCCATAAGTTTGTTAGAAAATTTTTCAAAGTTCGTTATTTACAGATCTTCAGACATTTTTGGCCGAGCTTAGCGGTAGTACTCTCCAACGTACATCACCAAGTTGAGTTATTGTTCTAAAATTATTATAAACTTTCCTTCGTCGACACAGTGACCACTTCATGGTGTTCCTGTGCAAGGGAACGGGAACATGGCTTACAGAGCAAATCTTAAACAGTTGGTGAAACCGTTGATTTGCTAAAGGTAAAGTTGAATAAAGGCCAGAGAGTAAACGTTAGATCATATTTTTGAATGTGTCTAATAAAAATGAGATAGAAACCAAACTTATATAAAAAAGGATACATATTTGTTCCGTTTCGAGATATGCCGCTTACTTGTATAAGTTGCATAAAAACTTGACTTTTCAGCTTATGTTGCAAATATCTTAATGATGTGTGCATTTAGACTAACAATGAAATCGACATCCTTTATCCTGCATGGTCGTTTTGGTCAGGTGGTCCTGCTATATCGCTGTATCCGCAAGGTATAGGTCGCTGGGATTTCATGATGGATTCGTTGTTAAGGTAAAGCCTGACTTTCATTAAATAGCTTATTGTCTTCTGACAAAGGTCAGAAAAAGAATGGCCATGGTACAGGAAGGTTAATAAAGTGTTCTTCCGTGGGTCTCGCACTAACAGTGTTCGTGACCGATTGATCTTGTTGTCGAGGAAACAGCCGAACCTGGTCGACGCAGAGTACACGAAAAACCAGGCTTGGAAGTCAGATAAGGTCATAAGCTTGTTGACTGATCTGAGCATAGTCGTTTTATTGAATTTCACGGTCTCTTGTTTCAGGACACGTTGGGCGCACCGCCGGCGAAGGAGGTGTCTTTTGAGGATCACTGCCGATACAAGTATCTCTTCAATTTTCCCGGGGTAGCCGCCAGCTTTCGTTTCCGACATTTGTTCCTGTGCGGTTCGTTGGTTTTCCACGTCGACAGCGAGTGGATAGAATTCTTCTATCCCAAACTAAAGCCGTGGGTTCATTATATCCCCGTCGCCCATGATCTCTCTGATGCAGAGTACGTGTTTCATTCATTTCTTGCACTGAACATTTTCAAGTCTTTCATGAGACTTATAAAATTTCTATGTATCTACGATAGACGCATCATACATCGGCGTGATTAATTTGTCGTTGTAATATTCATTGAATTCTTGAATATATACGTTTTGTTGCTGACATAGAACCAAATCACCTATGAGTCCCACTTTTCAGCGTAACAAAGTAACAACAAACTTTACGCGACAGAATTCTACTGCGAAAAAAATCTAAAATGAAAAACTGATGCTAATAATATCAGAAAGGTGCTTCGCATGGTGCTTTCGGTGAAACATCTTCATCTTCTTCATCTTCATCTTTTCGCCGCTTCTCCTTTCAGGTCGCGGAGGCAGACGCGTCAGAGAG